GCTAATGAAACCAGGGAGATTGGCTAAGAGACATATTTCCAGTCCTGTTTTATCTGCCTCCCCTGTTTCCTTCCTTCTGGAACTTTCCTCTGGCCCCCATGACTCCACACTCTCCTGGGTTTTGTCCTGTGATCTTTCTCACTGCCGTGCTTCCATTCCTCAGCCAGCTTCTTAATTTTTGCCCTTCCCCTGAAGTTCCACTCTCAGGCTAGTGGTCCAAGCTCTCCACGGGTGGCCTCTCCTGCTCTCCAGCTGCTGCTTGCCAAGCCCACGTCTATGTATTCACAAGTCTCTGCTGTTCTCCTGGAACATCCCTCCAGGCCCCTCAGGGGTGACCAGCCAGAATGAAACCCTGGTCTGTCCTCACCCCCACCCAATCCCTCACCTCCTGGCCTGTGAATTCCCTCCTGCCTGGTGCCCCGCCCCCTCTGCCTTTCTTTACCTTTTCTGGGCCTCTTGCTTTGCCTTTTCCAGTCTGGCTTCTTCAGGTGTGACCCTCTGTCATCCTCATCCAGACAGGGCCATCCTTATCCTCAGACTGGATTCACTTCTGGACACACCTAGAAACTTCCTCACCCAATCACATCCCTGGCAAGGGAAAAAACCTTCCTTAATCTTATATCCAGACCAGAAATGCAGTCTTCATCCTGAAGACTCCTCAACCTCCAATCACCAACTCTCAAACCCTCCTCAAATCCTTTCTCTCGGCCCATTCCCATAGCCAGCCCCAGCCCCCAGGCTCCTCGCCCCTGCCCTCACCCCCGGGACTGTGCACTGGGGTATGGGAAGAAAAGACTTGAACATCTATCTCTTTACTCACACTGACTTGTTTCTATTGAAGTAAGATTCATATAACATTAACTTCACCACTTGTAGGTGCACAATCCAGTGACGTTGAGTACATTCACAGTATTGTGCAGCCACCACCTCCATCAGCTGTCAAGACTTCCATTTATTTTTACGGCATGTTTTCAGTGTTTACTTTTCGTTTGTATTTCAATGCATGCGATGTGTGAATACAGTTGTATCATGTATTGTTTGTGAATAACCCTACATCTGCTGAGAATATGTTATAAAGACGTTATTGCTGAAGAGGGTACCAAATTTGAAATGAGGAGACACGTGACCTCCTAGCTCATCTCCCACATGTCAGGCTCCACAGTGTTTTCCAAACTGCCTCCAAATTTTCTTTGTATAAGACTAAAAACATGAGAACAGCATGCTCCTCTCACCCCACGACCAGTCCTTAAAAACTTCAATGGTCCCTAAAACCCCAGAGCTCCCTGGCTGGGCCGACGAGGTGTTGGATGTAAGGACCTTGCCCACCCTCCAGCACCACCTCTGGCCACTCTCACTCCCCACCCCCTTCCTCACCACCCCAAAATGCCACATCACTCGTGGATTCTTCAACATCCAGGCTGCTTCGGATTGTTCTGCTATGCACACATTTCCCCTTCCAGGATGCCCTCACTTTCACTGGCTCTCCAGCCAGTTTCCCTGGAGGCTAAAACCCCTTCCTTGTGCCTCCTCTCTGACCCACGTGAGCCAGCACTGAAGCCACTGCCTCCATGTCAGATGGCTTTGGGAGACTTGGCAGTTACAAAGGGGGCTCTGCTCTCAGAAGAACCTGGGTTTGAGTCCTGGCTTACCATTTATCGGCAAGTTGATGCTAGCTCAGCTCCCTTGTCTATGCGATACCCACCTCACACAGCGATTGTAGAGGAGGGAATGGGTACCTGCTCAGTGGTGGGGATTATCATAGCGGCTATTCTGTTTGTTTTCCTTAGTAAAATTCATGTTTCATACAAAGGCATGCTATTTCTGATAAGGCAAAATGTCTTCGTTTAATAAAAATGTTAATTATTTAGCAAGCAATTGAAACAGAAGTGCAGAGAATGCATTTTGTGCCAGCTGATTGGGTGTGGCCATCTGTGAACCTCTCCCACCACTCCACATCCACATGGCCTCCACTCACCCTGATGGCCACAGAGCACAGTGCTCAGCTCTCTGGGACATGTCTAGCCTTTGTATGAGGTCCTCACTGTCCCTGGGCTATCAGGGATGACTTAGAGGAGCCTGCCCCAGTTCCCCCAGAAGAGCAGCCCCATCTGTCCCATGTAGACAGCCATGGCCAATGGCGGGACACATCCAAGGTGGATATCAAGTGTGAGCGGCAACAGGTCCCTGGACACTGGACTGGTTGCAGGATCTATTCATATAAATACATTTCCAATCACTGGCAGAATATTGGGGGAGATATTTAATAAATGCAATTCCAGGGTGGCACCTGTGGCTCATGGAGTAGGGTGCTGGCCCCATATACTGGAGGTGGTGGGTTCAAGCCCTGGCCAAAAACTGCAAATAAATAAATAAACAAATAAATAAAATAAATACACTTCCTTGGCCACAACACGCATCAAACTTAATTTTGATCACTTAGACACTGATGCATTTCCTGCCTGGTGGAGGCCTCATGAGGCAGAGCTGGTGACAGCCCTGCCCACACCTGTCTCTGCAGAGCCTATGCTCATAGCAGACCCTCAATAAATATTGGTTGAGTGGGCTCGGCGCCTGTGGCTCAAGTGGCTAAGGCACCTGCCACATACACCTAAGGTGGCGAGTTCGAATCCAGCCCAGGCCCGCCAAAAACAACAATGACGGCTGCAACCAAAAAATAGCCAGGCGTTGTGGCAGGCGCCTGTGGTCCCAGCTACTTGGGTGGTGGAGGCAAGAGACTCGCTTGAGCCCAGGAGTTGGAGGTTGTGAGCTGTGACACCACAGCACTCTACCCAGGGGGATAGCTTGAGGCTCTGTCTCAAGAAAAAAAAAAAAGAAAAAAAAATATTGGTTGAGTGAATAAATGAATGAAAAGGTTATTAGACTGCAGTTAGGGAAAACCAATATGAGCCCAAATTCTGTCATGTATTCAATGTGTGACCTTGAGCAAGTTATAATATCCCTGAGCCTCAATTTCCTCACCTGTGGAATGGGAAGCACAATATCCATCATCCCACAGGAGCAGGGTTGTTACCAAGACAGCTGGTAAGAGGCATAGCCCTTTACGGAAGTGGTGCCGCTGGGTGTTTTCAGAGCTAGGAGTACATGTGACAGTAGAGGATGGCAGAAGGGTCTGGGCCAGTGGCCGTGAACACAGGCTAGTGGCAGGGTGCTGTGCTCAAGTGTGCCTGGCTTCTCCTGCATGAGAAAGTCGGGGCTTCATGCCTGCTCCCAGGAAGGGCTGTGTCTGCAGCTGTAGATCCCCTGGGCCTACCTGGAGGGAAAATGTTCATCTTGTAGCCATGTCATGCCCTGTGGTAGGGACTGAGACCACAGCAAACATAATCCTGTCCCCAGAACCCTGAAATAACCCCCACTGACTGCAGTCACTGGACACGAGGATGGCAAAGGCACTGAGGGACTGTGAGGGCCTCTCCATGAAGCCGGGGCAGAGACATGTGTGTATAGGAATCCTCGTTGGGCAAAGAGAACAGTTAAGGTGGTAGGTGAGGAAGGACTTGAGTGGGGCCATTTATCACGATCCTGACCAGGCTGGGTGTTGGTAGCCTATTCTGTTAGATATAGAGGACAGGAACAGAGGGAAAAGGCCCTGTCCAGTGCAGTGTCCTGACACACATCTGGGAACAGAAGCCATCTCCACCCCCCACCCCCCACACCCAGCCCCAGGGCTCACATCTCAAGGCTAACAGCAGGTCTCAGCAGGTACCCTGCACGTTGACTGAATAAACAGGGGATCTAATCTAATCCCTATCTGCTCTGTGTGTATCTCTATCTGTTGTTTATCTCATGTGATAATAAAATAGCTGACATTTATTGAAGCTTACCATGTACTGAGAAGCACTTTATATGTATTAATTTATTTAATATTCGTGACAACTCTATGAGACAGGTGCTGTTCTTATCATCATTTTACTGTCAAGAGAAATGAGGCACAGAAGTTTAAGAAATAGCCCAAGGTCAAACAGATCATTAATGACAGAACT